GGGGGGGGAGAAAGAGGCCGCAGCCTGGTCACCACAATTGACCTATCTAAAAGCTATGTGATGTAAGTTATCAGAAAACGAGTAGAGTTTCGGTTGAAACTCAAGATGATGTATAACAAACGCTCGTGACTTGTAGCGTGAGCTTCCAACTGAAGATAGGGTTTCGCACAGGTAAGGGGGACTTGAAAACAAAGGTATTGACCGTTGGGACTTCGATTTTGGGAATGCCGCGACATCATAGCGTTCGATCCCACATGTGTCACTTTGATAAAAAAAAAAGGGGGTCTTTTCCATTTCGAGTGAGGTTGAACGGTTGGATGGGGAGACTGGGAACATGTGGATTGAATGAGAACCCCAGGGTAGTATCTGGGAGAGAAGAGAAGGCGTGAAGATGACTACCCGTGAGTTGTCACACTGTTTACACTTGATTGGTGTGTTTGAAACTGAATCTGCAGTTTGCAGCTCACTCTTGATTGGTTCGCTTGGAACCAAGCCAGCGAACTGGCTCGCTAATTACTCTCCCTGAAAATATTTATTGATTTATTTGTTTATTTATTTATTTATCTCAAGGATCACACTTTTATCATATGATTTCGAAGTAGATCTCGTTACTCAGCTTCCAGAGCGGCGAGAGAGACGGCGCAGGTAAGTGAGGGTGAAAAGAGAGTAAATGATAGTGCAGATCACTTCAGGCAGCAGCCTCTCATTGGCGGGTCAGGCAGCAGMSGCTCGTTGGCGGGTCAGGCAGCAGCCTCTCATTCGCAGATCAGGTAGCGACCTTTGATTGGGAGATCAGACARCATCYACTCATTGGYTAATYARATARCAGYCACTCATTGGCTGGTCCTGCACTCTCTTCCCATTGGCCGATCAGGCAATGGCCACTCATTGGTTGATCAGGGACTCTCTACTCATTGGCAGATCATTCGCATAGTGCATTCGCAGCAGGCCTTTCAACCCCCCCACTCCCCTGCTGGTCGCTGCGGACCTCGGAAGCGGGCGCAGCGAGTGACAGGCGCTGTTGCCCTTGGCTTCAGCGAGCGGCAGGCGATCCCTCCCCGGGTTTCCTCACAACGGTAGGTCTTTCCCAGTTAGGGATCTCCAGGCTGCATCCCACCATTTCCATATCTGTTGTGCCATGGGGCACTCCAGCAAGCAATGTTCCAGGTCTGCCCGTCTGGGAGGGGACGACCTCCCACAGTAGGCACAGATTGGAGAGAGGAGTCCTTTCTGCTCCAGTCGTGATCTAGAGACGAGCCAGTCCGGCGTTGACAGGCAGCGATGCCATATCTGCCATTGCAGTGCTCAAGGTTGGCATTATTTTGGCGATTTTGGTCCTGTCTGGGATCGGGACTTGGTGGTCCAGAAAGGGCGAGTCTCTGATCCAGCGATTCCTGAGGCGTTCTTTCATAGGTGCTTGTGCGTGGATCGATCTGTGGCAGTCCAACACAGCTGCTGAGGAAAGAACTCAGGCTGGGTTTTATGGATCAGAAGCGAAATTGGGTTATGCTCCCAGCTCTCAATTAATTCCGGGGATATCCACGGTCAGTATCTCTTACTTCGTGCAAGTGGGACCTAGCCCCGGGTTGTTTGTGAGCATTCCCGGCCTCAATGCTTTTTTACATTGGAAATGGAATGCTCTACTTTTTTCCAAAAAAAAAAAAAAAAGAAAGGGTTGCATTTGGATGTTTCACAAAACATGTCAAAAAAGAAGTTTACTACGAATGAACAACGCATTACGGATTCTGACGATCTCGTATTGTCTTTCGCGCGCGTGCATATCCGATTCTGACGATGAATTCTCCCGCGCGTTCGTATTGCCTTACGAATTCTCCCGCGCGTTCGTATTGCCTTATGAATTCTCCCGCGCGTTCGTATTGCCTTATGAATTCTCCCGCGCTATCGTATTGGCAGTGTTGGTCACCAAAATCAAGAAATACAAAAAGAAAATCCGTGTACCTTTCCACGTTCTAGATAAAGATTCGTTCTCATACTGGACATGTTGGCGAGGTCCCATGCTTTCATTGAGTTCCGCGCGCTTGCTTGGGAGCTCAGGGGAAAGAAAAAAAGGCGAAAGAAGGGCCCTAGCTCCACCACTCAACATCCCCCATGTATGCGAACTGTAGCACGGACCGAATACATTCGGACTGATCGAACATTGTGAACGTATCGGGGCCATCACGAGGACCAGGTACATGTAGAATGGCGTCCAGCGGAGCGAAGCCCAGAGGGAAGGAGCGAAGGTCGCGAAAGCAGAAGCGAGAACGGCCACAGGAGGAGGTTTGTAAGTCAGGGCCGATCAGTAGTTGCAGCACTCGCCATCCGCCAACATTCTGAACGCATCTGGACTCCATTTTATCCAGATGCATTCGAAGTGTTGGCGAATGGCGAGTAGTGCAACCGCGGTTGGCCCGCAATAATAAGATGGGAATCATAGCTTGCAGTTGATGTACGATACAGCTCGAGAAGCAGGAGCCGAATGAAGGTATACAGGAACAGACATATCCTCTCCTGCCAGTGGAGGAAGGAGTAGCAGTAGTAGCCCTCTTTGATAAACGAAAGAGGGCAAGGCGGGGGGATCCGCTCTCCTGTTCTTCGGAGAAGCTTCTGCATTTCTCTCTGTCTGTGTTTCCCCTTTCCCCGTTCTTCCATCACTATACATTTTTGATCGTCTTCACTTCTCCTGCAAGCTCCAGGCGACGCCATTTCAGATTCTGCATCACTCTGTCTTCTTTCGCCATCGCTGCTTCAGCTCGGATCCGCGCAATTGGGGTGGTGGTCGCTCGATCGGCCGCTGAGTTCGACGGAAGCTTGAGAAGGGTAGAGAGACGACGACGAAGATGAAGATGGCTATGGCGGCTAGTTCATCATGCCGGCGACTTGGCCAACGGCTGGAGCTCGTTTCTGTCATCGTCGCTGTTACCTTCTTTTTGTGCGGTGGACCTCGCGCGGCGATAGCGCAGGGAGGCAAGGACGCCAACGTGTTCAGAATCCTTCAGAACGAGGCCCAGTTTTCCATGTTCTACAAGGCGCTGCTAGATACCACGGAGATCTGGAACGTGGAGGGTCGCACGCAGATCAACGGCTCCCAGCTACTCCTCTTCGCTCCCACCAACGCAGCGCTGACCGCCGCTCTCCCTGGTGGTGTACTGCAGTGTCTTCAGAGCGAAGGAGGCAAGCCGGTCTTCGTCGACTTCTTGATGTATCTTCAGGTCGACGTTCCCATCTCACCGAGGGTGGAATCCGTGCAAGATCTGCTGAACGTGAGCAGAGAAGGCAAGCTGTGGACTGTGAATGGCAAGGCCATCTCCGTCAGTCAGGTGGGCGGCTCGATCACTCTCACGGGAGATGACGGCCAAGAGACGCTGACCATCGCGAAGGCTAGAGTCACAGACCCGACAGTGACACTCATTGCACTGGAGGAGAGCGTCCTCGTCGACGGGGAAACTGGGGACAAGATCTTGGACACGTGTTTTGCCGACGAGGTGTTGAAGCCATCCACCGCGCCGCCACCCTCCAGCCGTGCCCTGCCATCGTCGGCGCGATCTTCCGCACACGCTTCCGCCTCCTCGCGCGCCGCGCCGGCGAGTGGTGCCGCACAAGCTTCCGCTTCCAAACGCTCGAGGATGTTGCTGTACTAAAAAATACATCGTCCGTCGTGGTGACGCTTCATGCACTCACATTCTTTTTTCGATGTTTTCTTTTTTAACGCACACACATTCCTCGGAATCGTAGGACTACGATTTGCTTTTACTTCTGGTTTGATTAGCGTTTCCGCACTTCACTTAATGTTTCCACATTTCGCCTGCCATCTGGCGAAAAATAAAGCGTATGTATTCGGTCAGGTATTTAGAATGTATACGCATGCACACACTTGCTTTACACAAGCACGGAGCTTTTCCGCCTCCTCCKCGGCCGAGTGCGGGACGCTTTTTTTTTTTTTTGAGGGTACTAAATAAAAAGCCCACAGCTCTTTCCGATGACCTTGCACATCTCGTCTTTTGCATCTGCGTCCCAGGAGAATACGATGAGGAGCTCATTACCGACAATGTAGGTAATACTATGCTCCAGTGCAGGGTGGTGATAGGGGTGGGATTCGATCCTCCGCTCTAGGAGAGAAGTCTCCGGGATCATTCAGGGATAAGGGTCAGATCCCACTACCCTGGATTATTCATTTTTCACCCTCGATTACGAAGATCAACGGTCAGAACTGAACAACAATAGGGGCTAGTGGGATCTGGCCCTAAGTCACGCTCCACGACGAGGAGGTATCAAATCAGTAGTAGTCTCCTTCCTCATCATTGCGTGCTTTCTCGCCAATTTTCTCCCGCAAATTTTCAACCATGCGTAATATTCGGAATAAGGGCGGTGTTACTGCAACGGAGTGATAAATTAAAATTATTAAATGTAGAGAAATGGATCACGCCCATCCGAAAACCTATCAGGTGGCCTTGATGTATCTGCACCTGTGGTATCAATGGTGATGTTTCTGGCGGTTTCGTTTTGGTTCTTTTATAGTCTCGAGAGTTGGGTGATTGGACCTTCTTTTTTTGTTTTTTTCAAGCCCGCTCGGATCTACACACTATGGGGAGTGATACGGACACTACCCCACCTTAGCAAGTCCGTGAATTGATTGGAAGTCGATTTATTGTCGCTGTTCAACCTTTTTAATGAGCTGGATAATTTTCGAAACGGCTGTTGGAGTGGCGATAGGACTATTTGTTATGAGTGTGGTTCTTGATCGGGAATGTGAAGTTCCCTTGGGGTTTGAAGATCAGGCAGGGAAGGGAAGGGAGGGAGGGAGGGAGGGAGGGAGGGAGGGAGGGAGGAGATGTGGGGAGGGGTTCAGATGCGGAATGGGGGTGCAGATGAATCGCTGGCAGAATGAGATCTTCATTTCTTATGAATCTCGCTGGCAGAACGAATCTTTCATTTCTCAATTTGGGGAAACAGAAAAAAGTTGAGTTTATAAGTAAATTATCATTCAGATTTATCTGCCTAACGTTGTAAGTTTTTTTCCCTCAGAATTGCTCGATCTTTTTTCCTTCTTTTTTTTTGCAGGCCCCTGACCTGCCCGTATCCTGACCGGGCCGCACGGGCAGCCAAGGTAGCCCGGGCGGCCTGGCTGGTAGCACAGCTGTATGGGGAAATGACAGGGTGTTTTTGCATTTTTTCTTTCCGTCTTTCAAATCCAAGGTTGGTTATTTCTCACTGCTCATGAAGCAGCTGTACTTTTTTTTTTTTTTTTTATAATCAATTTTAATTCCTATGTTGCAATAATCTATGAGCCAAAAAAATAAAAATAAAAAAAATCTATGAGCCCGGGGACCCCACAATTCAACCCGTAGTTATCCTGGCAGCATCCGCCAGTTTAGCTTACGAGCCTTTGCTGGTCGGGGCCGAGGTCCCACTGGCAACGAGGATCGGATCGAATGCCTGAATCTGGATGTGTTTTACGCAGAGATGCAGAAAAAGCAGTTCAATCTCGATTTCCTGCACCTGTGCGCAAACATGTCCAGATTCAGGCATTCAATCCGATCCTCGTGGCTAGTGGGACCACGCTCCGGGTTCTTATAATTCCGTCACATACAATCATACAATTCAGTCTCTTCAAAAATTCCTGTGCGAGGTAGCTCTAATTACTTCGTGTTTTTTTTTTTTTTTTTTTTTTCCTTGAAGATATAAAACTGATCAGAACAGATACTGCACTTAAGACTATGCTCTGTGCTACATACATCCTCCAACAACTAACGACCATGGAAACGACAGCAAGAGTTCTGGGGGCATCGTGCGGAGGAGCAAACCCCTCCAGGCGAAAAAGAAACAAGCAAATAAAGAAAGAAAAAATGCAAACCCCTGCACATAGGATCACATGCTTGCCCCCGCTTTGGGCCTCTGTCCACCACTCACAAAATGTGTGAAGAAGACAAAAATATGCACCGTGTATATTTCCAGGTTCTGGAGGCAGTTTCATTCTCATTGGCACATTTGGTGGGTAGTGGAGCGAGACCCTTTTTCTTCCTCACAGACTTCAACTCTCGTTTCTTCCCTTCCCCTCGTCCATGTTCTCGTCTCTTTGTTCCTTTTCTTTCTTTTTTTTTTTTTCCGCCATCTACATTGTATTCTTCTCTCAAACTCTTATTGGCCTTTCACTACCTACCTACCACTACTCCCAAGGATATATAGAGGGGACCCCTGCAAGCACACGTGCCTCACAAAAAACTTAGACGGATTCATGTTGCCCCTGCCCTTTCCACTTTTCTTTTGCTTCCCCCCGCCCCCTCCCCCCCTCCCCCCACTCTACTTTCGTGGGTTTTTAGGTGACCCTCAAAGGTACTTTTATTTTGAGAATGATGCCGGTGAACTTGGTGGCGTCATGTGAGTCTAACCCCCCAAATTGAGGGGTAATGGGTGTCTCGACGTTATCAACTCATCCATGAATACCATAATGCCTCGGCGTTTTTTTTTTTTTTTTTTTTTTGGCAGTATGCTAATTAGATGGAACCATAGTAGTTCAACCTACAAAATGAAGTGGTGATTCCCCCCACAAAAAAAAATAAAAATAAAAAAATAAAAAAGTTCATCCAACAGTAGAAGACGTGAAGGTTCAGGAAGAATCAACAGATTGACAGCGATTAAGTCATGTTGAACAATTACGCAAATATTTTATATTATATGGGGTTTATAATTTTTTAGGGTTCTCCGACTTGCCACACGAGCCCCGAGCAGCTGCCAGGTGGCGAGTCGCTAGGGATCCTCGTCAGGGAAAGCTGTTTTTTTTTTTTTTTTTTTTGTCTTTTTATTCTTGCACAGGGGCCATGCTAATCTACCTTGTATCGTTCCAATTTTAACGGATGTCCCGAAGGACAGGGAAAGCTGTTTCAAGAACAACCCTCGATCCAATTTCCATTTTTTTTTATTTTTTTTTCCCGTGAGACTGGAATGATACAGAGAAGTGTGACTTGGCCCTGCGGAAGGATGACGTACAAATGTCTAGAAATGGCGCAAATTTGGGGCAAAAAGAAGCCCTCAATTCCTGTCCTTTGGGTGTCCTTCAGACACTTGCTAAAATTGGAGCAACGCAGAGAGTAATAGCATGACCCCTTGTGCAAAGGCAATGCATGCCTGCATCTTCTCCTCCTTCTCCTCCTCCTCCTCCTCCTTGCCCAACCACCACAACCACCCAAAAAAGAGGGAATATCCTCCGGGGGCCAAGTCCCGCCAGCAGCGTTGAGTTTCCTCAATGTCCGAATCTGGACGTGTTCTGGAGGTGTGCAGTTGAGGGGGGTTCCTCAATGTCCGAATCTGGACGTGTTTCTCGAGATGTGCAGTTGAGGAAACTCGGGATTTTCGAATCTGGACGTGTATTTCTGGAGATGTGCAGTTGAGGAAGCTCAGTGCCACTTTCTGCACCTCGTCACTAACTCGTCTAGATTCAGCCGTCGAGGAAAAAGTCAATTCTGCTAGTGGGACGTGGCCCCGCGACATCCGTTAAAATTGTCACAACCCAGAGAAGGGTATAATTGCCATGGCCCCTGCACAAGGATAACCCACATATATTGAGAAATGGTCCCCCCCCAAAAAAAAAAATAAAAAAAAATAGAGGGAGTCCTTCAGGACAGCCGTTAAAATTGGAACTATGCAGTCTGAAAGAACAATAGCATGGCCCCTGGGCATAAATCGAGAAATGGTTGCGGCCCTGAATATTTCTCTTTGCTTCAGCTGGTTTGTACTGCCTTGGGCACTGGGCCCATATGAATAGAAAAAAGAATTTGAGATCACGTTGCTGCAACTTCTGGAGCATGGACCCACTAGCAACGGGGATTGGATTAAGATCCTGAATCTGGGCGTGTTTTAGGCAGACATGCAGGAAAGAAGCTCAATCTAGATTTTCTACACTTGTTCACAGACTCAGACAGATTCGAGCGTTCAATCTTGCCCCTGGGGTTTGGCAGCGGGAGCAAAAAGGCTGGCAGCAGCAGACAAAAATGATGCCCACGGCGGTTCGTTTTTCTCTTGTTGGTGCCCAGAGCGTTTGGAGGCCCTGGCATAAGGGACTGGGAACCACCACTACGTTTCCCAGGTATTTATATCCGATGATGCAGTTTAGGGTTTAGGGTTTAGGGTTTAGGGAGAGTCCAAGTGGCGGCAGGCACAAAGGACAAAAATCGTGCCAACCCATTTTTTTTTTTTTTTTTGGTGCACAGCACACATCTGGCTCCAGGAAAAGACACAAGCGCAGAACTGGCAACCCCAATCTTCAGCGCATAGGTTATAACCCCCCAACCACTGAAAAGGGGCGTTTGGAGATTGGTTTCTTTCAGTGTGTCTTTTTTTTTCCTATTTCTTTTTTTTTCCTATTTCTTTTTTTCTTCCTATTTCTTTTTTTTTCCTAATACCCTGTTTTATTTTTGTGCATCAAGGTCTGTGTGAGCCAGGTTTGGTGGTGGTTGGAGTCTTGGAGACGACTGTTTTGACAAGCCCTGAAGCCCCTGAAAATCCTGAAAAAGTTTGAAGGGTACTGAAGGGTGAATTTTGCATGAAAGCCCACTTAGGGTTTTGGGCTCCTTTGGTCTTTTTTTTTCACTTTTTTTTTTTTTGCTGTTGGTTTATTTGTTGTCAAGTGTATGGAGTCTATGGACTGGTGACAGGTTTCACTCACAGTCAATGAAGTTCACTGAAAACCCGTCAGAAAACAACTTCGCAGTGTTTGCAAATGAATGCACAAAAACCAAGAGAGAGAGAGAGAGAGAGAGAGAGAGAGAGAGAGAGAGAGAGAGAGAGAGAGAGAGAGA